CCATGGAAACTTGGAAAGAATTATAAAYCATTAGGATTAGGATTGCAAAATGATAAACTGCTTTTGGCAGCTGATGTGAAATACTAAATAAGGCGGTTTATTTTACCCTACAGCACAGCTTGCCAGAAAATATTAATATTGATTGATATTATGATTATAAGATTTTATGACTTCATTTAATTTCCTCGCAGTTATGCTGCAAATTTTATGGCAACTTTTTTTAAAAATTGCCATGTTTCTAGATCTTTGATTTACATTTTTGTTAAAAAATTACGATATTTAAACTTTCTTTATGGCTACCAATAGTTATTGCTAACCAGTGTCTGGTTCATGGCCTCCAAATCTCCATCTGATTAAGGCTGCCTCTCTTGTTCTGGSAGCTGCAGCCCTCTGGCAAATCTCATTCATTGAAACCTGTAACTCGTAGGTCCACGGATAAAAGGCAACTTTGTGTCATTAGTTCTTGCTATAATTTTCTGTCCGTGAAGGTAATAAACACAGCAGTCAATACACTTTTCAATTTATTTTTCACCAGCTCATCAGATTGTATCATYCTCCTGAGTAAGGCATTTCCTCTGTTTCTCAAATCACCTCTGTGGCTTGTCTCTGAATTTTCAGCATCTCATTTCAGCTGTAAATACCAGAACTGTGTGTCCAGCTTGTTCTCCCTAAGACCACCTTGTGATATAATCACATCCTCTGACTTAACTGTTATCCTTCTGTCTAAGCATTGTTTTGGAAAATACAGCATCTTTAGTGATCTCCCGATGCTTCTGGCAATGCTGTTTGCCAGACTGTCATGAATGTGTTTTATATTTCTTGCTCTTAAGTGTAATTCACAATTTGCTGCTCTGAAATATTTGCTTGACTTACCAAGTAAACCACATTCCAGAGCTGCTATATTCTTATTATTCACCATTCTTTGTCATCCATGCATTTTAATCAGTTATGATTCACATTTATGTAATCACTGAATAAATTAACCCTTGGACATGAAATACCAATCCCTATGGAAGACCAGAAGAATACTCCTCATAGATTGTGACTCACCGCTTTGAAAAAGCTTTTAAAAAGCCCTATCAGCCAGTTTTTCGAACATTCACAATAATCCTGCATGGCAGTYTCTCTGTGTGAGTACTTGGCACCAGAGCCAGGCTGTAGCAGCTCTCAGGAACAGCATTCCAGTCCAATATCCAGGACCTGGCATCATCCCAGGARCAGTGATTACTCCTGCAAACTGAAACAAGGAGCAGCAGTAAGGCACCACCATTTGTGTAGGTGCAAATGTCAAATCCATTCCGTATGAAATGTAAGTTGCAGTCTGTGGAGGCTCCATGCAGGGCTGTTACATGTACAGGATGGTCACCACCCAGTAAGAGCACAGTAAGCTCTGAAATACCTGATAGAGTTGGGTTTCAATAACGTGTGAGCCATCTAAAAGCTGGAGACAATAGAAGATTGGGTCTTGCACCACACAATTTGGAAGGTGGGTGGGGTTTTTTCCCCTTTATATTTTCTACAGCCTCCTGCTTAAGCGACCTGTCTGTATTTGTATTTTTAAAATTTTGTTGGCGTTGATATTTCTTTTGCCCTGTCTTACATCAAATCCCTTCTCAAGGAAAAGCCTCAGCTTCCTATACCTCAGCCCTKTTTTGCAAGTCTATCCAAGAAACAGAGCCACTGAGTCGTGCAAGACATTCTGAAGGTTGGTAATAGATGCTTCTGTCTTGAAGACACAGCTTCAAGTGACCACTTCAGGTGCAGTATATGGGAATATAATCAGCATTCTGATAAGTTTTGTAAAATCTTCTTRCACCTACAGTTACCTCTGCCTCCTTGCCTGGCAATTTGTCAACACTGAGAGCATCTGTTCTCTCTTAAATTGATTTGAGTTACTTTATTCCTAGCATTAAAACTTTCTGACTATAAACCAGGGAACTTTAGTGAGTGTTTCCATGGTGTAAGCATTAGCAGTTTGTTAGCATTAGTAGTAATTATTAGCATTAGTATTAGTAACTTGTTATTAATAATGTAAATATCTGCTCTCCATCATAGAGTGTTTCTAGGATTTCTGATGTACTTCAGTTGTTAGTAATGCACAAAGATTTAGGATTATCTTTTTGAATAATGAAAAAAAAGTGCCTTAGATTACTTGGCTTGTCACACAAATAAAAAATGTGCAAAGATTCAAGTCTCATAAGCAAAATTCTGTGTGAGTTTATTTTGGAAAACGTATTTATGTGCTTGCTGGTGAATCATGATTTGCTGAAAAGGATTCAGGAAAATCAAAAGTATTGGAAAATTTGAATCAGCAAATTCTATTTGGCCAAAAGAATGAAGAAATCTGTAAATATATATGAACATGATATGTTTTCTTGTGTATATATAGATTTGTCTATACATAAGTACTTTTGGAAATGTTATTTTTTTTTAAATTACCAAGTTATTTAGGCTGTGTCTGTTGGCAAAATATAACTTACTGTTTGGTGTCACATTCAGATGTAAGACACAAGTAAAGCAGATTTAAAATGTGCTGATSAGTAGGTTTCCTGGAGCACCTGTGCTCTACTCACTGCTCTCATGAGTGTCACCAGCTTACAAGGCCTTAGCCAGGTGCCTGATCATGCACATACCCTGGGAATGCCCTTGGGCTTGGTGCATTCTTCTGASACAAAGAAAAGTGCCAAAACTTTTTCCATATTACAAGGAAATTTGGCCTTTGAAAATAGTTATCCCTGAACTATGGAAAATAGAAGGGATTAGATACAAATCACTTTTTATCTAATCAATTCCTCCTACTCAGTTTTGCTTATGCTCATAAATTGTCTGAGAATTGAAGCAYTGATTTTTAATCCCTTATTTAAAATAAATTAGTATTTCAAAACTCAAAATTAAATATAGTATATGAACTACCCCGCTTTACACAAGATATGCATGTATTTTTGTAAGCACACATCCTCCTAATTTTTTTAAAGGGTGGAGTTAAATAAGTGTGGAGATGAAAGCAAATCCATTCACATCTAGTTGTGAGACTAATTTTGTGTAGTGGAATAATAATTCACTGCTTCAGGAGATGAAAACAAATAGATGGTTTCTGAACCTACTTGAATCTTTTAGTGATATATTTTGGTCAAATAAATTAGAAGAGAAGCCAATTACCATTGCTACAAACAACAAAAGAGAAWTTTTTTTGATCAGAAAGTTCTCTAAGAAAATTATATTGTAAGTGTAAAATCACATCATCACATTTTTTTACTTTGTGTATTGAGTGCAAGGAAAAGTAATAAAAAAGCAAGGAATATTTAGCCTGTGATGAATGTAGCCAACAACAGTGATAAAGAATGTGAATCTTTTGAATACTAGATCAGCTACCATTATTTGCAGTTCCATTTGGAGCACTGAGAGGWCTGCACACATTGTACATATTTCTAAAGCAGTGTGATGTCATAAACAATTTTTTAATGTAATCCAATTAATGCTGTTAGGAAGGGGAGAAGTCAGATAGAGTCCTTTTGTGATTTTAAATTCAAACAGTGACCTTGGTCAGAGAAAACACTGTATCAAGGAGTCTCTCTACATCCAAGTCTTGCAAAATACTTAGAGCAAATTTGTGCTGTCATAACCTCAGGGCTAATGGGACCTGCCATGACAGGAATCTCCAGAAGTTTTCTAGCTGTAAGAAAGAGGAGTTGAAGGCTCCAAGAACTACTCTGAAGGCACCTTTGCATGTGGTTGCCTACTTGTAAGATTGGAATTAAATTGGGAACGGCAGCTTCTGAGCCCCATTGGCTTTAAAAGATAGAAGGGTTGAACTTTGGTTCTKGCTATGAAGAAACACATCAAATAATTCAGGACAGACATTTAGGGYCTTGGAAGGTAATGAATATAGATTAATAGAGACAAAAAGATATATAAGTACTCATGTACAGTAGTTGCACTTTCAGGTCTGTGTTTCAGATGCTGGCTTGCTTTCTGAGCTTGTACATAACCAAGCGTCAAAGAAAACATTCTCCTAGAAGAAATAATTTCCATTATCTTCTTAGTTGGAGCTAAACACCCACAAATAAGGAAAATAATCATAGGATCACCAAAGTTCATTAAAAAATCTTCCTGAAAATTGAGTTAGTAATAATTGGTGATAGAAGGGGGTGTTATACAGGCTCACCCTTTAAAATTAGATCAGAATTACTGCATKCATTAAACTACCGAGGACAAGATTTTGCCTGTAGAAGGATGAAACGGATGTGTACTTTTCCAAAGTGAACCTCTCAAAATTTTCCAGCAAGTCTTTGTGTCCTTCCAAAAAAAAAAAAAAAAAAAAAAAAAAAAAAAAAAAAAAAAAAAAAAAAAAAAAAAAAAACCAAACCCAAACCCCAAACCATGGAAGTTGCTCTTTAGCATTCAGCTTTTTGCTTTGAGCACTTATACTTTACATAAACATAATCTAAACAGCAGTGTCTACAAAGACAAATTGGAAAAAATACGGTTTCAGAAGTCCTGTAGTAGCKGAAGTCTAGAAAAAAAAACCTGATTTACTAATGTATGGTGAGCAGTTCTTCACACGAGCATGGGTGTGCTCTCTAAGCACTGTCAGCATCAGAGACTAAGTCTTGCTTTATCCTTTCCTTTCTGTGATGCAGCACAGATGCCTCMAAAATGAGGAGCAAAGCGACCTTACCGATGACGGTTTATAGTTTTCCCTGTCAATCAATTTGTGTTGCTCTGCGCTAGCACTGAATCATTCATGGAGCACTCTGCTACCTCACGTTTGTGGCAGTGGGCTAACCCGCTGGGACCGCATAAAAACGCGCACCCGGATTCTCGCAGCGGTTTTTTTTTCGCATCTGGTTGATGACAACAGCTTTAGCGGCTCTCGCCCGCATCGTGCGGCGCCGACCCCCGCCCTCCGCGGGAGCGCTCGGGACGCGGATCGGGGCGGAGCGGCCGGTCCCGCCCCTCCCCTCCCCACCCCACCGCCCCCCGGCTCCCGCCCTCCTTCGCTGCCTCTCCGGTGCCGGCGGGGCTGGAGCAGGGACACAGGGACACAGGCGGGCGGGATGGCTGCGCGGCTGCGGGCGCTGCTGCTGGCGCTGTGCGCGGTGCTCGCTGCCGCCCGGGCCGCCGAGGCCGAGCCGGTGGCCGGGGCTGCCAGCCGGCGGCGGCGGCTGAGCGCCGAGGAGGGCATCTCCTTCGAGTACCACCGCTACGCCGAGCTGCGGGAGGCGCTGGTGGCCGTGTGGCTGCAGTGCCCCGCCATCAGCAGGATCTACACGGTGGGGCGCAGCGCCGAGGGCCGGGAGCTGCTGGTCATCGAGATCTCCGACCGGCCCGGCGAGCACGAGCCCGGTAAGGGGGGCGACCTGCGGGCGGGGAACGGCGAGCGCGGCTCTGCCCGGCAACGCCGCGGCCACGGGCGCTGTCCCCGATATCCAACGCCGCGGCCACGGGCACTGTCCCCAATACCCAACGCCGCGGCCACGGGCGCTGTCCCGATACCCAACGCCGCGGCCACGGGCACTGTCCCCGATACCCAACGCCGCGGCCACGGGCGCTGTCCCCAATACCCAACGCCGCGGCCACGGGCACTGTCCCCAATGCCCAACGCCGCGGCCACGGGCGCTGTCCCCGGCACCCTCGCTGCGGCAGCGACTGTCAGCGATCGCCCGCAGCCGGCGCCGGGCGCTTCGTGCCGCTGCCGCTGGATTTAGCGCCCCTTGCAGCAAGAAACGCCCGAATTGCCCATGAAACGTGAGGAGCGGGCGCCCGGCGCGGGTCCGCCGGCAGGACAGGCGCTGGCCGCCCTTCCCCACGAACCGCAGCGTGACACGGCCAGGCTGAACCCGGGGATGGGTCACCCACCCTCGGGATATGGGGTTGCGTGTACTTGGTTTGGGACATTGTTTTATCAAAGGGGATGCGATTGATGCCGTGCACTTGTTTTACACCTACGACTGTGTCCCTTTCATCGTTTCCGATCTTAGCATCGGCAGTGTCGCTGATGTCTGCATGCGAAAGGGTTTAATCGTGAAAGCTGCTCGCTACCTTTGGCCCAGCCACAAGCCTCCTGCAGACATCTCACATTTCCCTCCCTGGGTTACTGCACAGGTCTGGAAGTCCGTGACTTTTAGGTGGAGGTGTGGCCTCTGTGGCTCTCCGGGGATTTGGCCAATACAATTAGTGCTTAATATTCTGCTTTATGATTTGAATGTAACCTTGCTTTGTATCATCAAGAGATTTAATGTTAGGGCTACAGATAGCACTTGAAGGTTATAGGATATTGTACATCAGGAGGATGTAAGAGGAAATAGGGTAGTGAGGCAATCTTGGAATGGAAAATGTAGGGATTGCAGCAAAATTTGAAAAATTTCTTTGTGGTATGTTGCCATCTTGATAAAGGGGAGTGAGGAACATGAAGCTAAGAATTAACCTATTGCCGCTGTGTAATTTATACACTAGAATGGTAACAGTTATTACTGGCGTTTTGCATTACTGCYAGGGGATAGTCGCTACAGCTCCTTTATGTGACTGCTGTGTCAAGCCAGCAGTATATGAATAACAAACTGCAATAAAGAAAAATTCCTATGGATTGCATCCACATACAAGCTATAGACAGTGTCAGACATTTCCTGGAATGTGCTCGGCCCTTTACTAAGGGAGCCCTATGGATAAAAATGCCACACGTTGCAATGTCCGAATCACATGTCAGGGAATGTGATGAGTCCTGGCAATCTTTAGTGGTGGATGCTGAAAATGCTGGTTTTTAAAAGGGATTAACCAGGGTTTGAACCAGAGCAAAGTCTTTGTTTTATTTCAGTCCTCGCTTTCATTCTGTGAGGTTCTGAACATTTCTCAAAAAGTGGAGAGCTACTACTCTCTGMAGTGACATATGGGAGAAACTTAGGATTTTTTGGGGAAGGGCAACAAGACAAACCTCATGCACAGTTATCCTTGCACTCCTTAGAAAGAATTGTAAAAGCATTGATGCCACCCCTACTTCATTGTTACAGAGCCTAAGCACCCACATACTGTGCCAATGGTTGCATTAGACGTGTTTTCTTCTTAAAAACTGTATATTGTGCCAGTGGTTGCATTAGAGATGTTTTCTTCTTAAAAATGTGCCCTTTCCTCTACTGTGTAGTAAAAGGTAGCACTATTTATTTTTCTATGGGAGCTTTTTTAAGCTCTGCAGTAAAAGAAATGGAGCCTTGTGCCAGCCTTGGCAGGAAATACGAGTCTGATTTTGCTCATACATGAAGGGGGAACCCTGCTCATTCCGAGCATCCATGATTCTCAGGGCAACAACCAGAAAAAGGATATTTTGTGTGGTAAAGCTTGCAGGATCAGAATCTGATTTATCATCATCTCTTATTATTAAAAAATGGTAGACAGAATCACAGACACACTCATATACATAYACATAGTAACTTTTGATTTTTCCCGGACAGCCAAAAAGCTGTAARTTCTGAATGTAATCTATTCCTGCAAGATACCTTGAGTGTCACAGGATTTATTTTTAAAATGTAGGGAAGCATGAACAAAAGATATGCTGTGGTTCATAGATTTACAGTCTGTGGAGAGCTCAAGCTTCTGAAAATCTGGTGAGTACACAGGGATGTTACCTGAATCATCTAGTGGACTGCTGTGAAACAAAAGAAAATGTTTGCGTTCACTTAGTGAGCAAGTTGATGACAAAACAGAGCAGGAAAGTGTCAGCAGAGTTTCAGTAAAGACTCTTTGTACTGAGTAAAGAGGCTTTRTACCGAKTAAATCAAATACTGCATATACATACAACCTCTGCATAATCACATGCAGGGCATGGCTGTGTAGCCTTGTGTGAATGCATTTGATTGTATGCAAGCATATAAATCAGTTCAATGTTAACATATTGGATACTTTTGAAAATTGATTTGTAATATATACGTGGAGTGTTTGAAAAAAAATGCTTGMGAGAAATAGGAAAACTTTAGGAATGTGCTTTAGACCTCCAAGGCAACTGGAAAAAATCCTCAGTGAATGAAGRAACTGGAACAAATCGTGAAGGCCTGGGGTGAATATTCATTAGGAGAATTTTCTTAAAGTTCTGATACTTCATTGGAAGTCAGAATGACTTCATATGAGCCAGTCTGGTTTCTTGCATAATCATACAAAGTGTCTTTGCAAATCTTAGAAACCCAGATTAGTCACTTGGACACTGTGAGCTGAACCTTCCCTGAGCTCCTCCTGGGGACATGATAAATGCCAGAAGCGTGAGACTGCCCAAAGTTTCTAATGCTGCATTAAATGCTTAGAGAACGTGTTGCCTTCTCTGCCAGCTTGAGCACCACACAACCTGTACTTCAGATGTGCTTCATGCCAAACAGGGTTTGCGTTCATATTTGTAATTTTCTGCATTTTGTTGTGGGTTTTTGTTTTGTGTTGTTGCTTTTTTAAAATGTTTGTTTGGGACTTTTTTTTTGGCAACGATTTCTTAAGGCTGATACTGCACCTGTATGGCAGATTAGAGCCTRCAATCACTGATAGAAAAGAAGCCCTTGAATAAGGAAAGCACAACCCAGAGATGAAGACATTCGAACTTTTTCAAGTTTTATACCAAGGAGGCTGTTCTGTGCAGAAAACTTCACTTTGAGTCGCTGAGGACAAGGCAGTTAAGGCAGAGGAAGACTTGACAGACACTATGTCAGTGGTTATGTGTAGAAGGTGTTGTACAAAGTTAGACTGGAAGCAATCAAAATGTTTAGACTGGAAGCAATCAAAATATTTTGCAGTAATTTTGACTTAATGAGAAAAAACAGTTTTGTGCCTGTGCTTGCCAAAAATTGGCAAATTGACAGAAGGCAGTGGATGACAAGGTCAGATAAAATGAGAAAGTGGTTGTGTAAAGTTGATGGTGAACCAAGGGAAAACAGGACATTTGATGATAAAGCACAGATTTTTTTTTTTTTTTCCCCTGGAACAAACTAAGCAATATTTTGCCTTAGTTCAGGTGCAGGAGAATACTGACTACTCCTGGGAGAGGATGTAGGCTCTTGCTTTGGATGTCTGATGTTCTGTTGAACAGAATGTTTTTATTGTTCAACGTTTTTCCCACAAGCATCTTCAAAAATACTTCACGTAGAAGGAAATGGTTAAATTGTAGTTGAATGAGACAACTGATTTTCTAGAAAGTGACATACCTTGGATTTTGCAGTTTCAAASAACAAAGCATCTTGAACCAATGAGKCAGGAGCACASCGAGTGTGAGTTGAGCAGYAGMGTTGTGAYTTGGAAYATTTGCAGGGCCCTGTGGGTGTGACTCCTGCCGGTTTTACRAGGTGCAACTCAGCTACAATAATCCTTGGACCCATCACTTTATCAAAGACTCCACTTGGCAGGGTAAGGAAATGAGTTGGGTCAGTCAATGCTGGCACTGATCCTAAACAAACTTCTAGATTTCCCAAATTGTAGCTCTTGTGGTAGCCCCTCCAAAGCCCCCAGACGTRGGGCTCTCAGTTTCTCACACCCCAGCTCTGCAGAATCATTTCCTCCTGCAAAGAAACAATTAGAGGGTGACTAAGAGAGAAGTGAAAATCATGACTCTATATAAATGAATGGAGAAATCCAAGAGTTGTGTCCTGATACAGACAGGTTTTTATTCTGTCAGTGAAGTGCTCCCTTTTTCAGCTGTGGCACCAGCAAYGTGAGCTGGTACTTTCAGTGGTAAGAAGTTGCAATAAGTAAAGCTGATGGATTTGCAAGGAGAAAAATTGCTTCTTCTCATAATGTCCTTGTCACTGTTGTGCAAAACCCATTTTAAAATATTTCTTGATTTATTGTAATCCAAATGACTCTGCAGCCATTTCAGAGAGCCATGGGCAAATTCTGCTCTTTTTCAAAAGAGAGAGCAGTGGGAAGAGCCAGCAAATGTGTAGGAGGCTGCTGAGTTTTCAGCCCAGCATGGGCAGGAATCATCTGTGCTGCTGTAGGGTGGTAACCTGAGTGGGGACACCACTGGATGTCACCTGTGGGTCTTCTGGGCTGTCCTGCTTCAGATGGGTAAGTGCAGTGCTGGGGTTGGTGGCAGGGCGCTGTGTCACTGGTGATGTTAGAAAGCACACAGCTGGTCTCATGGTTGTAGGGATGTCATCAGATACAGCTGTCCTAACTTCATTATCTACACTTAATTGCACTTGCTTTTCTAAAGCTTCTTTTCCTTATGCTCCAAATCTGCACATGAAAACCGTGTGGGCTCTTTGGTTGTGAGCACCTGTTGATGTTTCCCACATTTGCAAAGCATTAATCCAAATTGCATATGGAAAGAGCTTGCTAATTAATCTAGGTGTTGGAGAGCAAGCCTAATCTTTGTGTGC